ATGTTGAGAATTGCCTTGTATGAAGATAAGGAAGATCCAACATGGGGCTTATAACAGTAATAAGCAGGAAGAGGAAGAGGAGAAGACCTGTAGAAAAAGTAAAAAGACCATTCCTGAAGAATAATCCAACTCAGGATCCAGGAAAAAAATGTCAAACCTTCTAAATAGTTAGTTATTGAGCAGTTCCTATGTGTCAGAGATTTTTTTTTTTTAAAAGATTTTATTTTATTTGTGCATACAGAACTGGGATACAAGCCAGAGATGTGGAGGGTGAGAGAATTCACCAGAGACAGAGTGGGAGCAAAACAGGCAGATCAACGAAGTACACTGCTGAGGGGAGCAGCGGGCGGGTCAGGAGAGGTCTGCCACGCCATGTGGTCACCTCCGGGGCAGGCGGGAATCGAACTCATGAGGAAGCGGCTTTAGATTCTCAGTGCTGTGCTTTAGCCCGCTGCGCCACCGGGGAGGGCCCCGTGTCAGAGATATTTTAAATACTAACATACATCAGCTCATTTAAATCTCATAATAACCCCAGGAAATATGGTTATATCCTTTTTAAAACTAAGGACATGCCCAAGGTCAAAAAGTTATTAAGATTGTTTAAAAACAAATAGTATGACAGAAGTAAGAATGTATTCATTATTCACTCAATATTTTAAGACTACTTATCAGGGGCTGATAATATCATCCCAGGCACTCAGGCTATATTAAGGAGAATAAACAATCCTGCCTTCTAGAAGCCTGCATTCTACCACACTGTTAGTTGTATAATAATGTTTTCACCTATAAAAGTGATGAGCTATCCAGGGAGGAAAAAATAAATTAGGAAGGTATATATTTTTTAAAGATTTATTTATTTATGCATACAGAACTGGGGTACAGTCCAGAAGTGCTGGGGGGCAGTGAGCAGATTCACCAAAGACAGAGTGAGAAGCAGAGCAGGCCAATGTACTGAAATACTCTGCTGAGGGGAGTAGCTGGTGAGTCAGGAGAGGTCAACCACACTGTGTGGGTCACCTCCTTGGCTGGGGATCAAATTTGTGCTGCAGTGGCTGGGTAGCTTCATAGCGCTGTGCTTTAACCCACTGTGCCACCCACCAGGGAGGGCCTTGGCAGTAAATTGAAGTTGGAAATTGCATGGTGAGCAATAGAAATGAATGAATTAAGTTGAATTTGAGATAATTTTTAGTGTGTCTGAGAATCTTGACTTATAAAGGACAATTTAATCTAATCACATCACTTTAATGATGGTTAACTTTAAATACCTTTAAATTACATATATCCTCCTTTTTCTAGCAAACTCATACACAAAATGTAAGGCCAGGTCTTATAGATCTCTTCTGTATTCTGTCACTGAGTTTAACACAGTAGTAGGAATATATATTTGTTCTGTAATTGAATAAGTTAATAACAGGTATTACCTATATGATCATAATTTTTCTCCAGAGCCAAAGACAAACTTTGGAGAAAGGTAATAAGAATTAGAGAGTGAAGTAGAGAAAAGTGAAAAAGAACCCAGCAATCTGATTCTGGATGCCTCTACCCCAATCCTGAGATTAATTTTTCTGATATTGAAAAATTCACCCATCCTTTTATACCTCCATCTTTTCTCGCTTGAAAATAGGGAGAGAGGATTGGTCCCTCCTTAGTGGCACAGCTGGTTAAAGCATAGCACTAAGAAGCTAAAGCCACTTTAGCATGAGTTAGATCCCCACCTGCCCCGGAGGTGACCCACATGGCGCGGCAGACCTCTCCTGACCTGCCCGCTGCTCCCCTCAGCAGTGTACTTTGTCAGTCTGCCTGTTCTGCTGCCCACTCTGTCTCTGGTGAATCCTCTCACTGCCCTTGCACCTCTGGCCTGAACCCCAGTTCTGTATGAATAAATAAATCTTTAGAAAAAAAAAAAAGAAAGAAAATAGGGAGAGAGGATTAGAACAGTGACTCATGATCCTCCTGTGAGTCATAGATCCTTTTATGAAAACTGTAAAGCCTACCAATCTTTTCATGAAAACATTATATACAGATGCCATGAAAAATAGTAAATTGACTTGTTTTATAACAAAAAATCTTTAATGTGTTTATTTCTACTATAATATGAAAACAACAATGAAATAATTTGTTATGTTTAAAGGTAATTAACAATTCACACACACACACACACACACACACACACACACAAAGCCCTCTCCATACTTACAGAGAAAGCCCAACACTCCCAGATGGGTGAGAAAGCATTCGTCCAAAGAAAGAAACAGAGTATTAATAGATGCTGTGAAATGCTTTGAAATATTAATGTCCATTATCTTCTTTGAAATTCTTATAACATTTATTTCAGATAGGGATGAAGCTGTTTAAGTTTAGCTCTTCTTGACAAGCCAATTCTGATTGGTCGACTGCATGTCTTAAGAGGTAGTATTCTTGAAATTCCGCTTGAAAAATTACTACCTAAAATAATAAAATATAACATAATATGAAAAAGATAAAAATAAAAGGGAGTAAAAATTACTGCTTCTATGCTTAAAAATTTTACAAAATCTAATCATGATCCTAACAGTATTTACTGAGTCACTGTTCTAAGTGCTAGAGATGCATTAATTTACCTAACCCTATCTCCATTTTTAAAATGTGAAAACCACAACATAAAAAAGTTAAGTAACTTGCCCATCATAAAATAGTAGCAAAATAAAATCAGCATTCCAGTCAGGCAGTAAATTTAACAGCAGCTACAAGAAGAATAAAATAAACTATTGAGCTATCGTCTTAAAATTAACTTAATGCAGTGGTTTTAAAGACCATGTCATTTTTTCAAAGTTAACACACTAGATTAGATTGTTAAAGATCATTTTTTTCCTAATAGAGATTATTATAAATAAAAGAGCACAGATGCACTTCATCTGCTTAAATATCAAGGGAGTTATCTGATTTTGAAATTTTTATTTAACATCACAGTATCAGTCTCAAAAGTGGTATAAAACATCGCATGTAAGAATGTTTGTCAGTAAACCAGTTAATCATACTGGTTTGATAATCAACACTGATGATAAATTAGAAAAATATCTTCAACTTTCAGAGTATTTTTTAAATAAATAGTGAGGTACATAAGCAAAGCTGGAAAATAGCAAGTTTTAATCAAGATTTACAGAATTGGCATGATCTTAATGTAACAGTACATTATGCTAAAAATACTATAACCAACTTACCAGTAAATCTGACAAAAGCTGAACCAAATAGAATCTATGAGTATGTTTATGTAAACATTAATGAAGTAAAATACAAAATTTAACTATATGTAAATATGGAGAATATAATACAAAGTTATCTATTAAACCAGCTTATGATACTGTCCTCACTTATTAAGATTATAATTATAAAAACTAAAAAATATGTGTTAATAGATTTTCACTTTTAAACAAAAGGATTATATAAACAAAACTGCTGGGTCATGTCTGATATTATACTTGGTTATTAATTAGATAATTTTACCAATTTATGCTGTGCATTTCTCTTTTATGAGATTATTTCAAAATAATGTCATATTTATTTGATTACTTTTTCAAAGCAGACGCGTATTTTAAATTCTAATATGACAGATTATTCTGGTAATTTTACAGTGGGTGGGAAGTCACTGAAGCAGTTTGTATGAACAGTAGCTTTTTTGCAAAGCGCAGGCCCTTACAGAGTCATCAGGTTATAGTTATGAGGATGTGCTTGTCTCTGGATTCCCTATCTTTCTGCCCTATGAATCCCTTTATTATTGTTATACATTGGTTTAATTTATTGCTTTGATTGTTTAACATTCTAAACACGCATGTCTATGGCTAACTCTGCAGGACCTCAAATGCACCTGTCCGCCCTGGCTAGTGTTGTGCATGGGTGAGCACACTCCTCAATAAGGCCAACAAACAAGTCAGCAGAGCACAGTGCACTCTGTCCTGCAAATAGCTACAGCCCACTACTGTTTCAAGTAGAAGCTACAAGAAGCCACAGGATGGGTACAAACATGCACCCCACTCCTGCCTCGGGCACAGTTCCTGTTTTTCCCTAAAGTACAGACCCTATATATACCCATGGGCAGTCCTAATAAAGAGACTTCGGACTCAGGCCCCAGGCTCCTGCTTATTCTCTTGAGTCTCCAAGTCTCCTACATTCAGGTTAACATAGTGGTCAGCGCACCCCTCGGTGGGTTAGCAACACATGTCTACTACCAGAAACTACTTTTAAAAAATCAATGTAATTTAAAAAGTCATGAAAACTTTCAGTGGTCTTTTAGAAATAATATTAACTCAATTCTCAAATGTTCTTGTGACTCCAGGAGCATGCTAGGAAGGCAGATGTTAGAGCCTCGCAGTAAGGGAATCAGAAACCTTTATCAAGATAGCCAGTGGCGGGCTTTCCCTTGTGGTTCAAAGGGTTTAAGTGCAGGACTACAAAGCTAGCCACCACAAGTTCAATCCCCAACCCTGGAGGTGACCCACACGGCATGGCAGACTCTCCTGAACCTCCCACTGCTCCCTCAGCAGTGTACTTCATCAGTCTGCCTGTTCTGCGCCCCACTCTGTCTCTGGTGAGTCCTCTCATCATCCCTGCACCCCTGACCTGAATTTCAGTTCTGTATGCATAAATAAAATCTAAAAAAAAAAGAACGAAAGAAACCCTTGATTTGCATATACATGAAGGTTAGGGATGCATCGGTCTGAATTAACAGAAAGCATCTGGAACACTGGTTGCTGTATAATACATGCTCAAAATAATGTCAAACTACTGGACTTTATCCACAGACAAGGGAGAGACACCAAGAGAAGAGGGACTGGGGACTTCAACGGCAGAAGCTTTAACTGGAGGACTTCTGGTGACAAGTGGGTACGTGGCGAAACCTTTAGGAGTTTCCAGTGCTTTAAAAACCACTCTGCATTAGCAGACATCATCCCCCCTGGACAGTTAGTTCATTCTTGGTACCCCCACTTCCTAGTGTCTCCCAGCTTTCTCCTACACCACGGATTTCAACAGCCTTCAGGTAGGTCATCCACTTTCATGCACTTTGAAACTGGATCCATCACTAGTTAACCAAATTTACAAGTAGCCATGATGACAGTATGGGCATGTGATCCCTCATCTTCCCCCAAACCATCCCAAAATCTGTTCCCAAATCCAGTTCTGCCTTTCTTTCTGTCCCGGAACCATCCCTACGCTTTCCAGGCTAGTTCCTACCACTCATGTTGGATTGTGCCCTCAATTACTGCTTTTATTCAGGAGAGAAGAGGGTTTTTAATTTTCAGAGAAAGTGGATTAATTTTTAAGATTATTGCCCTGTAATCTAAGAAAAAAGGAAAAGGGATATTTCTGAAGCAACTGTACAAAGTACCAAAGCAGCATCCTATTAATGATGCAAAGCCAAGAGAAATTTAAAACTTGATGCTAGATTGAGATGCTTTGGTAAATATATTTCACCTAAAGAAATGGTTAGTTTTTCTTATAAATAAATAAATAAACGCTATATTTGTAAATCAAGTTATTGTATCTAAATGACTCTAATTTTAAATTATTAAATGCCTGTATAAAGAGGATCATAATACTTAAAGGGTAGAGAACATTGATAATAAGTATATAATTGGACCAACATCTCATCAATGAAAATCCAATTTAGATAAATGCCTTTTTTGGGTTTGCCAATTAATGTTACATACATAGCTATTGCAATGCATCACTGCAAATATTTAAATGGTTTTGAAGAACATTTCTCCTAATAATATTCTAAACAACATTTTAATTTGAAAACAATTTTAATTATTGGAATTGGCATAAGTTATTCATTACAAAACTGTTAATCCTGTATTTATTTTCTAACAACCTAAGTATATTTTCCTCATGCTAAACATGCAAGAATGTATAACCATCTTAGAACGTACTCCAGAAAATAAGCAAGACTCTTACCTCCCCGTAGTAAATAATTCAATTTCTCTTCATGAAGCTCATCAGAGAAGAAAGCAGGTCTCATAGATGAAGGTTTTTCACAATCTGAAAATGAAGATCAACATGTTATTTTAAAAAGCTAATCTTTATGTAAGATGTTAATACTAAACAAATAACATTTTCAGGGATATTCCTCCCATTGGGTCCTAACATTTGGATAAATGCAGCAACACTCTTCAAAGCTCATTTTACCAATTCTATTACTTTAAACTTTAATATATAATCTGTTTGCACAGTCTTCAATAGAAAAAAACGTGCATTAATAAACAATGCACTCCTTGTTAAACTTCTCTTTCCCAAAATTATATATTTGCCCTCCACAGTGGAAAAAGGACATTGCTCTAAAAAGAACATTTTAGAACTAATTGCATACCTTTCTCAGAATAGAATAATTCTTGTTCCTGTTTTCCTGAAGAGCAATACTGCTTAGGAACTTCCTGTTCTCCACTTTTAGGTACTGTTTTCCATTTAAATACATTTTGGTGCCTTTTATGCATATTAGGACCTGTGTCAGTATCACAGCACAAAGAAGAGGTACATATTTTGTTGCCTGTACTCACTTTCAAATCTTTTTTTATCTCCATGTTCATTTCTCCAACATTATTTTTTTCAAAGTAATTTTCTAGTCCATTGTCTACTTCCACAGTGCTTAGAATTTCATTTTCCTTACTAATTTCATGAAACATACGAAGTTCTTCAAGTACTAAATCAAATTTACTCTTCATCTCAAAATCTTTTGCCATTGTCAGAGTTTCTGTTGGTAAACATTTGGCAGTTGAGTCCTGAAAACATTCATTGTTTGTGACACTCAAATCAGTTTCCAACTGATGATTAAAACTTTCTGTAGAGTCATTCTTTGGATGAAAATGCTCTGAATTAGCTAACTTAATTTCTTGCAAAATACTTTCATATTCATTTCTGTCAGCTACATTGTTTTGAGAAACATTCTTAGTTTCTTCCACATTTGCTTTCTTATTCATTAACAAAACCGGTTGCACAGAAGACATGTCAGCCTTTGAATCAAAACTGTTTTTCTCTTCCTTGTCTATCTTAATATCTTCATGAGCATAGCAAATATTTTTTAAACTTTGTGCTGTGGTTTTTACTTCCTCCTTCAACATTAAGATATGACTTTTTCCTTCAGTTTCTGTAAGCAAGTTCCCAAGATTTAGCATCTGAGTTATGGATGCAGGAATGGTCTGTTCACTAGGTCTTCTGTAGTGGCTTGACTGAATGGTCTGTTGTCTAATATTGATGGAATCTGCAAGTATGTCATTAAAATTAAAACTACTGAGCATATTATGCTCTGGTTTTCTTTCAGTATCTAAATCTTGGTTGTGCTTACTCATTTCATACAAGTCTGCACTGATATATCCATGGTTGGTCTGTATAAATGGAGAACCAGACTTAGCTAGTGTTTTAACTGTCAAATTTCCCTCATTCATAAGTTGTTCAGGACAGCACTTATTCTTGGAACTAATTTCTTTTGTGGGCAAAATGTCATCCAAATTATCAAAATCCACTGAAATTTTTTCATATGTTTCAAAAATTGGAAACTGTGTATTTTTAGTTGTCATACTGACAAAATCCATGCTTTTTTCCCTAGGCTCTTCAAAAACTTGTTCATCTTTAACTTGGTACTTCTCTAATATCGGCTCCATATTATCTTCTAATAGTCTTGAAAACATCTTTAATGTGTTATGACATTCCACTGTATTTTTCGGATAGCTGACTATCCATTTGAAAATGTACTCCTCTTGTAATTTAGAAACACTTTTTCTTGCTAAAGAGTCTAAGTTACTAAACAAAGAAACTATGTTAGCTGTCGGTGTACTTCGAGGTTCTGAAAGCTTGCTTTGTGAGTACATGCTTAAAATGCTCTCCTTTCTATTGACATCCACACTTCTAGTTACCTTTTGACTGTCAGTTTGGTCTTTATATATCAAAATTTCATACCAGTTTAAGGTATCTTTTTCACTTCCTGAAACACATTTACGGAAATAAAAAATTCCTTCAGTAAACTTTTCAAAAATGCTTAAATGAAAGTCCTTTTTTGGAGCACAATATCGCAACTGTAGCATATTATCAGTTTCTCCTCTGGCATGTAACCAAAAAAACTGTGTTAAAGCTTTTTGGCGGCCCAGTGCTCTTGTCATGAGAGACTTTAATTGTTCTTCACGTGCATTCCTGGCTATGGTATCGCTTAAGAGATTTATTTCTAATAATTGCAGCAAGCTCAACTCTGCTCCAGTTTTTCCCACGTTTTCACATTCCATCTTGTAGCTATCCACAAACCAACAATTTTCCCTTGAAACCTGTGCCGTGTTACCGGCCCAGCTTTGAGACTTTTCCAACTTGGTGTTGGGCATGTAACTGTTCAGGCAGGTCCCTGCTTCTTCCACATTTGCATTTCCTGGTATTACAGTGAAATCCTTCTCTGGGCCTCTTGTGTCAGACTTGATCCTACCAGGGTGAGCGTTTAGAGTGATGGCGTCTAGCTTTTTCGTGCACACATTTTGGGGGCAGCATGACTGGAGGTAACTTTCATCAGGAAAAATACTTTCCGCACCCACCATTTTTTTATCACCCCGTAACTTTTGCTTCTGGACATCAAGTCTATTTTGGGACCAGTCCATGTTTGTGAAACCCCGACCAGATGCCTCCCTGGTGTCCTTTTCCTCCGCTACTTCCTTTAAACAGGCAGAGGACGCTCTGCTGTTTCCACCCGTTGGAAGCCCAGGGATACTGACTAGGCGGCTCTCTCCGAAACAGCGGGGTTTGGCCGTTTCTACGCTGGGCTGGTTTGGGGCTGTGGCTATTTTTAGCATAGATGCTGAAGTGCTTTTTTCTGTCGTCTCTGACAGCGTAACTCTGTCAGCTTTACGTCTGTTCTCCATTTCGTGAAACGCTGGCTGCTTTTCCTGACAAACGGTAACTTCTGACAACAGCCTCTCTGCCCGTTTTTCGTAGCCAGGGTCTCTCTGCCGCTCTCTCCCTGACACTGAACCCTGACTCCCATCGCCCAGTCCGGCTCCGCACGGGTCGTGTGAGGCGGCGCCGGGCGGCCGCGGACCGGCCTCCGCTCGGGGCCGCTGCCCGCAGCGCGAACTTAGAACCTCCCTTTCAGCCCTGCTGGACGCGCCGCCCCCAGAATCAGAACTTTGTGAGGAGAGAGACCGCGAACGCGCTCCCTGGAATTCGCTCTCTTGGCTCCCCGGGTTACAGCTCTGCCCAACGGCTGATTTCTCCACACACGCGTGTGTCGCCGCCTCAAAATTCGCGTGAGGTGAATAGAGCAGCGCCTTGAAGGGTCTGGGCGGCAGCTCCCAGGCTTTTTC